ATGGCATCATTACGACATCCTGTGCCAAGCTACTCGCTTCATGATTGGCTCAGCTAAAATAGTACAATAATGCAATGTCCTAATTACTGAACAATGGAAACAGCATCATTACGAAATCCTCCACAACCACCAAGATCTGTTTCCCATGACACAGGAAAGGAAAATGGCCACACCAAGCGACACTACAATGTTCGTATTTTATTCTTTCCTCCTGCAGAGAAAATTGAGACAGACATATGTATTTTTGTCTTTCATATAAGATTACTCTTCTGCGCCAACTGCAGTTCGAAAACATGCAAATATGAATAGATCAATAGGTTCCACTTCTATGGGAAGATAATGGCACTCCATGCAGTCATGATCTTGGAGGTGGCTATGGAAAATGCCAGCTCTTTGGCTTAGAAGTGGAGGTGAGCACCACCCCCCATAGTTGGACACGACTAGACTTAATGTCGGGGGAAACGTTTACCTTTACTTATAAGATTACTCAGTTTAGTCTTTTGAAAAATGTGTATCAGTACTAGTGGTATGATGTTATGACAGGCTTATGCGCATGGAAGTCAATATCTCTGCTCCCTGGAAGAAGGAGGTCACAAAGCTACTTTAAAAATAAATAAAAGTGGTGACAACTGGGGGAGCCATCTGAAAAGTCGTGCTTTTTTACAGGGCCCTTGTGTCAGCAGTCCTTCTTTCTCACTCCCTTTCCTCAATCACTACCCATATGCAAATACAGCTATTCCAAAATCAACGAAAGTCTGATTTTTTTAAAAAAGTATGGTGCCATGTATTTGGGAAAAAGGACACTCCACTTGTATTAACAATCTGCCTAGACTACATAATGGCTATGAAAAAGAAAATGTTCAACTGGGGATGTATTATGATACTATTCCATTATATATATTTCCTACAAGTCCAAATCTTAAGAGATTCTTAAGCAGAGGTTGGGGTAGCTGAGCCTACAAGACAATACTGTTGTCTACAACCTTGGGAGGGTTGGTGACTAAAATTGTGGCTTCTAAGGAATTCCAGCTAGCGACCGATTGAAGCCTGGAAATTTCAGCCTCTCGCCTGTTTTAAACCCTTTTAAATCCCATCTACACAGCTATATAATCCAGATTATCTGCTTTGAATGGGATTATATGGCACTGTAGAGTTATATAATCCAGTTCAAAGTAGATAATCTGGATTCAGAAAATTGATTGTATGGCAGTGTAGATCCAGTCTAAATCTCAGATTCACAGTTTGGGTGTTAATCTGATTGACAGCATTTGCAGTCAAAAGTAGGGTGTTCCTGAAGATGTCTGACTTTGAATCATACCTTGGTTACATTCCTTTTGGGTGTAATACACTCTTAGGTAGGGCTACCTGTGAAAAATATCTGAAACCCTAAGCAGCCTCAAGCCTATGCCCACACTAGCAAATTAATACAGTTTGGCCCCACATGGCTCAATGCTATGGGATTGTTGTTTTTCCAATTAGGGGTTATAATTGTGACTGTCGTTTCCACAGGGCTTTGTTTTGGGCATCCTCAGGGCTCAGTTTTGCAGTGTGCATGTCTTTGTTGATGGTGTCCATTCATCTTTTCTTTTGCTGTCCACGTGATTGCCATCTTCTAATCTCTAAATACAGTGTGTTTTGTTCTACTGATGTTGGTTCTCTTTTCAAGACATGGCTGTACCATCGTAGTCTTGCTTCCTACATTTTCTTGCTGATTGCTTTTATTCCTGGTTTTAGATGGATGTCATCATTTGGCATATGGTCAAGAAGTGTCAAGCCAAGTGTCCATCTCAGCACTTTCATTTCCATTGTGTTAAGGGCTTGTTCATGTTTCCTTGTTGCTGGCCAGCACTCTGTCCCATAAAGGGCTACTGGGCGGACAGCTGTCCTGTAGATCTTACCCTTAAGCTGTTCAGGCATTTTTGAGTCACACAAAATGCCAGTAGTTTGTTGCCATTTCAACCAGGCTGCATTTATTTGTGACTGTACATCTGGCATTGTGTCGCCATCTGTGGATACCAGTGACCCTAGGTATTTAAATTGGGTGGCCTTCTTTAGTGCTTGTCCATTAATTTGAATTGTTTTTTTTTCCAGTTTGGAGACCACATTCCAGATACTCTGTTTTGGATATGTTCAGTTGAAGTCCATTTTCACTGAGGCGCCTTCCACACAGCTGAATAAAATCCCACATTTTCTGCTTTGAACTGGGGGCCCTTCCACACAGCCCTGTTGTCGAGCAATTTAGAGTGGCTGTGGATAGAGAGATTCAAGCCATTGTAGGTTGCCTGGTGAGAAAAGAAGTCAGTATTCCAGAATAAATCTCACCAAGTTGAAGAGAAAGCCACCAAGGTTTTTATTTCATTCCAGCTGGAAAGGTTGACGATTGCAGTAGCCTGCCAACAAAATCGACATGCCCACTGGGAAGAGAAATACAATATATATAGCCTTCAGATTCCAAAGTTTCCATGCCCCCCCCCTCGAGCTGGCTTTGTTATGATTGGCTGTGACATCAGCAAGCCAGGAGGAGACCCAATGAGGGCTCTGACCCTGCTTATGGCCGCTCAGCCAATGAGGTGGAAGGGAGGTGGGCAACAGGGAAACAATGAAGAAATGTCTAGTTGACTGGATTAAGGTGACTGGTGTTTGCCAAATGGCTGGGTGATAGCTTTAGGCTCTCAAGACTGGCCTAGGTTATTGTTTGATTCTGTGAATTAACATCCCTATCTAGCCCTGAGAGGCTAGGTCCTTTGTCACACTGTCCTGTGATATGGAGTTCATTGATGAAGTTGATGCTAGTTTCGGGAGAACAGGATGTGGCACAGCAGGGAGGTTGATGACAAATCCCCGGGTTCCTCACAGATGGAGAGATGTTCTTTGTGTTGGGTGATCCAGTATGTCCATAGACTCCATTGTTCTGGATGGCCTGGCTAACAGCCCTCCGAGGTCCAGATAGATAGAGCCATTTACTTATTGTCCATGCAAATGGATCTGGTTGAGTCCTTTTTTAGGGGACTATCAGCCCAGGAAGTTTGGAAACTCCAAGAGCCATGAGTTGCTGGATCATGCAAAGGTTGTTTTCCTTCATATTTTCTAATATAGACATACATAGATGCAGGGGATGGGGGTATGGGAGCATACATAGAGTTTATGGGGGGGGAGGGGGAATCATGCAGGGTCTAAGGGGAAGTCATGTCAGCCCCCCAAAAGTCCATAAAAGTTCATAATGTTTGGCAAAAGTTTATAAAAGTTCCCATAAATTTCATGAAAGTTCTTATGAACTCATAAGAGTTCATGGGGGTGGGTGCATGGAAGTTCAGGGGAGCACTGAGTAGTCGGAGTCGATTCATAAAAACAGGAGGAGAGATAGGGAATTATGGGATCATTCCAGCCTGGTGCTCTCGCCAAAACTATGAATTCCCTGATTTTGAACTATCTTCAGAAGGGGGGGGGGGGGGAGTCACTCAGATCACAGTCCGATATCCAGAATATCAAGGCAGAAAATCTCACAATATCTGCTTTGAACTGGGTTATCTAAGTCCACACTCAGATAATGTGGCATTTTCTGCCTTGATATTCTGGGATAAAGGGCTATGTGGAAGGGCCCTGGGATATATGGCAATGCGGACTCAGATAACTAGATCAGGGGTCCTCAAACTAAGGCCCAGGGGCCGATACGATCCAAGGTCATTTACCCGGCCCTCGCTCAGGGTCAACCTAAGTCTGAAATGACTTGAAAACACAACAACAACAATCCTATCTCATCAGCCAAAAGCAGGCCCACACTTCCCATTGAAATACTAATAAGTTTATATTTGTTAAAATTGTTTTCATTTTAATTATTGTATTGTTTTCAAGTGTTTTTTGCACTACAAATAAGGTATGTTCAGTGTGCATAGGAATTCATTCATGGTTTTTTTTTCCAAATTATAATCCGGCCATCCAACAGTTTGAGGAACTGTGACCTGGCCCTCTGTTTACAAAGTTTGAAGATCCCTGGCCTAGATTTTGAAAGCCACTCTATAATGATATAGAATCCATACCATTGGCATGTCATGTTGTTGTTCATTCGTTCAGTCGTCTCCGACTCTTCGTGACCTCATGGACCAGCCCACGCCAGAGCTCCCTGTCGGCCGTCACCACCCCCAGCTCCTCCAAGGTCAGTCCAGTCACTTCAAGGATGCCATCCATCCATCTTGCCCTTGGTCGGCCCCTCTTCCTTTTGCCTTCCACTTTCCCCAGCATAATTGTCTTCTCTAAGCTTTCCTGTCTTCTCCTGATGTGGCCAAAATACTTCATCTTTACCTCTAATATCCTTCCCTCCAATGAGCAGTCGGGCTTTATTTCTTGAGATGGACTGGTTGGATCTTCTCGCAGTCCAAGGCACTCTCAGAATTTCCTCCAACACCACAGTTCAAAAGCATCTTCCTTCGCTCAGCCTTCCCTAAGGTCCAGCTCTCACATCCGTAGATTACTACAGGGAAAACCATGGCTTTGACTATGCAGATCTTTGTTGCCAGTGTGATGTCTCTGCTCTTTACTATTTTATCGAGATTGGACATTGCTCTCCTCCCAAGAAGTCATCTGATTTCCTGGCCACAGTCTGCATCTGCAGTAATCTTTGCACCTAGAAATATCATATAATATTCTAATATATATTACTGCGCACACAGATCTGCTGATATTAATGAAATGTTGGTCTTTTAAGGACTAACATTGTAACGCAGGCATGGGGCAAACTTGGGCCCTCCGGGTGTTTTGGACTTCAACTCCCACAATTCCTAACAGCCTCAGGCTTCTTCCTTAAACGGCTGAGGAGGAAAAGGAAGAGGCCTGAGGCTGTTAGGAATTGTGGGAATTGAAGTCCAATACACCTGGAGGGCCCAAGTTTTGCCCCAAGCCTGCTGTAAAGTGTTGCAGTGAAGGCCCCAGGTGTGTCCTCTTCCTCAGCCCGAGCCCTGGCAACCCTCGCGCCTCAAGGGCGCCACTGCGCATGCGCGGTACGTCAGCCGACGCGGCGGGGGTGCGTGCGGCAGATGGAGACTGAAGGGGGCCGCGGCGGCCGCCGTCCGGAGAGGCAGTTGGGGATGGAGGCCACGAGTCTCGCGAGAGGAAGTGGCGAAGGGGCCCCAGCTGCGGCGGCGGCGAGGAGGTTTGGGCTGCGGTGAGGAGGGCGCGCCGGAGGTCTGAGGCAATTGGCCGGCGGCAGGTAAGGTGGAGGCCCCTCAGAAAGACGAAGGGAAAGGAGCCCAATGGTGGCGGCCGAAGGAAGGAGGCCTGTCAGGCCTCGCGTGCCTCTTCGCCCCATTTCCCTCACGGGTTATCTCTCTCTCACACACACAGCCCAGGGAAGGTTAATACTTGACCAGTGACCAAAGGAAGGATTTCTGAGGCGGGCCATTGAGGCGTTTTTAGGTCGCTTGGGGCCGGAGTCTACTCCCAATTGCTTCGGCCACGAAGGGGTTACGGGCTGCCAGGCGTTTTGGACTTCAACTCCCAGAATCCCTGAGCGTCGGCCTAGGCAGCCAAGGCTTCTGGGAGTTGAAGTCCAATACCCCCGAAGGAACAGAGTCTGACAGCCTCTGACAGCTTGTCTCACAGCTTCGCCTCAGGATACAACTTTAGTAATAATAACAACAACGACAATAATAACAACTAGCCTTCCCCTGCCACGCGTTGCTGTGGCCCAGTCTGGTGATCTGGAAAATAAAGTGAGGAGAAAGTGTTGGTTTCTAATATATGTAATTTCTTTCTGCTTGTGGGTAAACAGTATTTCTTCTTGTTTCTTTGTCAATATTGATATAGAGATTGTCTGGTCTGCCTTCTCTGGAACATGCAACATATAATTGTCCTTCTTTAGGGGTCCCTTTCAAATCTATAGTACTATACATTATATATACATACATTATACTATACATTATACTATACTGTCATATACATTGTGTGTGTGAATCATATCTATCTATCTATATCTTTGACTGGATGGCACTTTGTCAGGAGAGCTTTGATTATGTTTTCTTGCCCTGGTGAAGGGATTAGACTGGATGCCCTTAACGTAGAATTTCTCAACCTGGGGGTCAAGGGGGGGCGGGGGTTGCGAGGGAGTGTCAGAAGGGTCGCCAAAGACCACCAGAAAACACAGTGTTTTCTGTTGGTCTGGGGGGGGAAGGTTCTGGGTGAGACGTTTGGCCCAATTCTGCCATTCGTGGGGTTCTGGATGCTCTTTGATTGTAGGTGAACTATAAATCCCAGTAACTACAAATCCCAAATGTCAAGGTCTATTTCCCCCAAACTCCATCTGTGTTCATATTTGGGCATATGGAATATTTGTGCCAAGTTTGGTCCAGATCCATCATTGTTTGAGTCCACAGTGCTCTCTGGATGTAGGTGAACTGCAACTCCCAAACTCAAGGTCAATGCCTACCAAACACTTCTAGTCTTTTCTGTTGGTCATGGGAGTTCTGTGTGCCACGTTTGGTTCAATTCCATCATTGGTGGAGTTCAGAATGCTCTTAGATTGTAGGTTAATTATAAATCCCAGCAACTACAACTCCCAAATGACAAAATCTATTTTTTAAAGTGAAGGACATACATTGGGTTGTTAGGTGTCTTGTGTCCAAATTTGGTGTCAATTTGTTGAGTGGTTTTTGAGTTCTGTTACTCCCACAAACGAACATTACATTTTTATTTATATAGATAATAATAACTAGCCGTCCCCTGCGTTGCTGTGGCCCAGTCTGGTGATCTGGAAAATAAAGTAATGAGAAAGTGTTGGTTTTTAATATATGTAATTTCTTCATGCTTTTGGGTGAACAGTATTTCTTGCTGTTAGTTTGTCAGTGTTGATGTGGAGGTTATTTGGTTTGCCTACTCTGGAACATGCAACATATAAGCCTTTGGGACTGTGCAGTGAGGCAGCAATAGGAACCCTTAGTATGCCAACCAAATTCGATATGGTTGTTGAGACAGTTTTAAGTAGTGGATTTTAACGGCAAGATAAGTGATTTTAATGCTTTTGTATGTGTATGGTCTAATATGTTTCGGCATTGAATGTTTGCCGTTTATATGTTGTGCTCCACCCTGAGTCCCCTTCGGGGTGAGAAGGGCGGAATATAAATGCTTTAAATAAATAAATAAATAAATAATTGTCCTTCTTTAGGAGTCCCTTTCAGATCTATATCTCTCTGTGTGTGAATTATATCTATCTATCTGGGTGCCCCCAGTGGCTCAGTGGGTTAAACCCCTGTGCCGGCAGGACTGAAGACCGACAGGTCGCAGGTTTGAATCCGGGGAGAGGCGGATGAGCTCCCTCTATCAGCTCCAGCTCCTCATGCGGGGACATGAGAGAAGCCTCCCACAAGGACGATAAAAACATCAAAATCATCCGGGCGTCTCCTGGGCAACGTCCTTGCAGACTGCCAATTCTCTCACACCAGGTCGCTCCTGACACGACAAAATATCTATCTGTCTGTCTGTCTGTCTGTCTGTCTATCTATCTATGGCTGGATGGCTCTTTGTCAGGAGGGCTTTGATTACGTTTTCTTGCCCTGGTGAAGGTCATGGGAGGCCTGTGTGTGACGTTTGGTTCAATTCCATCATTGGTGAAGTTCAGAATGCTCTTTGATTGTAGATTAATTATAAATCCCAGCAACTACAACTTCCAAATGACAAAATCATTTTTTTTGGTGATGGTCACTCCTTGGGCTAGTAGGTGTCTTGTGGCCAAATTTGGCGGCAATTCGTCCAGCGCATTTTGAGTTATGATGTCACTCAAAACAAACAGAACATTTATAGATAGATAGATGATAGATAGATAGATAGATAGATAGATAGATAGATAGATAGATAATACAGACAGAGAAGCCATTGGAATCCACAAGTGTGTGGACAATTTCAACAGAAAGGAGGAAACCATGAAAATGAACAAAATCTGGCTACCAGTATGGAAAAAAACCCTCCGCTAAATTCAGGACAGTAAATAAAGAACAACACTCTGAAAACAGTGGAATTCCAGACAAGAATCAACCAGGGCCAGCTAACATCTCCCAACAAAGCATGTCCCAGGCAGCAACCAGCCAGGCTTTGAAACTGTAAGGCTAATCAAGGTGGACAATTGCAACATTTACTCTCCTCAAGCAGACAAGAGTTCTTTCTCCCACTCTGGACATTCCACAGATATATAAATACCACTTGCCTAGTTTCCAACATACCTCACAATCTCTGAGGATGCCTGCCATAGATGTGGGCCAAACATCAGGAGAGAATGCCTTTGGAACATGATCATGCAGTCTGGAAAACTCCCAGCAACCCAATAATTTTATTTCTTCCCCACCTCTTCTCATGGCTTGAGGGTGGTTATAAAGGAATTAAAACACACACACACAGCAAAAACATGACAAATACACACACTAAAACGTACCTCCATAAAAGTTATGCACCAAAATGTATCTCGGCAAAATACATCCTAAAACACACAAAACAGCTCAAACAAAGGACACTTGAAATTCATGTTTGAAGTCTGTCTGGGTAGGCCTGCTGGAAGAGATAGGTCTACATAGTTTTTACATTCTGGCAGCTCATTTAGCTCTCAAATGTCTTTTGACAGGTCATTCCACAGTCGTGGGCTGGCCAATGAAAAGGTCCTCTGGGAATTAGTTGTCAGTCAGGTTCTGACTGGTTGGAGCACCCCTCCCCCAAAGGATCTCAGTATTCAGGGTGGATTGTATGGAAGAAAGCAATCCTTTAGGTAACCTGGACCCAAATCATGTAGGGCAGGTATGGGTAAACCCAGGCCCGGGGCCCGGATGCGGCCTCATGGACTCTTTTCGGAGGTGCTCCTCTCTCTCACCATCCTATTCTTCCTTCATTCTCTCTTTCCTACCTTCCTCCTTCCCTACCTCCCTTCTCCTCCCTCCTTCATTCCTTTCCACCCTTCCGTCCTTCCTTTCCTCTTTCCTCCCTTTTTCCCTCTCTCTTTCTCCTTCCTATCTTCCTCCCTCCCTTCCTTCCTTCCGTTTTTCTTTCCTTCTCCCTTCCCTCACTTCCTTCCTTCCCTCCATTCCCTTCCACCCTCCCTTCCGCCCTCCCTCCCTTCTTCCTTCCTCCTTTCCTCCTGGGGGATGTTTAGTTGGGAGAAGAGAAGCTAAAGAGGGAACGTGAGAACCATGTTTCAAAAGTTAAAGGGGTGTCCCATTGAGGAGGAGAGGGAAAACTGACTTTTCGCTGCTCTAGAGACTAGGGCACAAAAGAGCAATGGTTTCAAATGGTAGGGAAAGAGATTCAACTGAAAAGATTAGGAAGAATTTCCTGAGAGTAAGAGCTGCTGGAGAGTGGCATAGGCTGCCTTGGAGTGTGGTGAAGTCTCCTTCTCTGGAGGTTTTTCCACAGAGGCTATTGGGAGTGCCTTGATTGTGCCTTTCTGCATGGCAGGGGATTGGACTGGATGGCCCTTGGGGGTTTCTTCCAGCTCTATGATTATAGGATTATATATCAGGAGTAGGCAATGCAGTGTCTAATGGATACACTTTTTCTCTCCCATCCACCATCTCATCTTGACCCTTTTGGGCAAACCCTTTTGGGATCCAAACTTTCCTTTACTTTCTGCCTCTGAAAGAGAAGAGGAAAGGTCAGGAAGGAGACTTGGGGAGAACCCCTCCCTCCCTCCAGGCCCACCCACCTACGCCCTGCCATGTGACCTCCAAGTTAGAAAGTTTGCCCATGCCTTATGTAGGGTTTTGAATGTCAAAACCATCACGTTGTACGTTGCCTGGAAACTGATTGGCAGTGGAGTGACTTTAGGATAGACTCAATCCTGGATGTTCCCATAAACAATCTAACTGCTGTATTTTGAACCTGCTGGAGTTTCCAAACTTGTTAAAAGGGTAGCCCAATGTAAAACACATTGCAGAACTCCAACCTTGAGGTTACCAGTGAATGCACTACCATCTTCAGGTCCTCCAAATCTAGGAAGGGGCACAGCTGGCGGATGAGCCGAAGCTGATACTAAGCGTTCCTGGCCATAGCACCTACCTGGGCCGACATTTGGAGAGATGGATCCAGGAGTACTTCCAAGCTGCGAACACAGTTAGGGGGAGTGTAACCCCATCCAGAACTGGTTGACATACCTCCATCCCCAGATGAGGACTCCTGATGGCAAGCATCTCTGTTTTTTCTGGATTTAGTTTCAATTTGTTTTTCCTCATCCAACCC